TTGCCAATAATATGGATACGAAAGTTTTAAACGGATAAAATACGTACGGGTACAAATACGTGTATTAAACGGAGTATTTACTAACTAAGCCAGAGAGATGTATTGGTTCCATTGCCAACATCATGTATAATATATCTTCTAGCCAACTCTATCACCTGTAAAAGTTTCCTACAAACCCAGCTACCATTCATTATTTGGTGGTTTAATACACCAACAAAATGCTTCTATTTTGGGGAAGCATTGTATGTAGAATAGTTGACCTTTCTCTTTCTAGCCCCTCCACGCTTACCAACGCCCGCATTCCTTTTCCGATCCCGATGACCCGCATACGATGTCAATGAGCGCACCGAGCTTGATAAAAAGCAGAGACCTAAGCATGAAAACGAAGCAATCTACCTTTGTATCTCATATAGCTGTGAAAGTGCATTTATGATTTTTCACTCATAATGATCATTCTAAATCGTGAAGTTAGCATTTCATATAGCTGGAAAAGTGCATTTATTTCACGATTTCAATTGACGTCTATGAAGGGAAAAGTAATTGATGACAAAAATCCCGGGAAAATGCAACAATGGCAGGATTGAACTCTCACTTATGAGCTAAAATTGACTGATGTCAAAAAACCCCGGTGCAAAGTGAACGATCTCAAACTTCTTTTTATATTGAAATTTTTTGGGGCCCTTCTTCAGCGAGCTTGGGATTTTCTATTGCGGTTCCTCCATGCCCCTTCGAGGGGGTCTTTCTTTTGAACTCAAGTAACCCGCTATAGTTTCCGGGCGTACTCAAGTGACTATTTATTGTTCCTGGGGAACAAAGAAGTATCCCGCGGGCAAGCATTCGTCATAGAAAGAAATAACAGGAGAAGGAGGTAGACGATCTAAACACTATAGTACGAGTCGTGCAGGTACATACTAATTCATCGGTGGATGTTTAACATTGTCATTTATTCTTTCAGCGGGGGTTGCTAATGCTAATACCAGAGGAGAGTAGTTCCCCAGCGACGATAGGTGATATCAGTGACCAAACCGGACCGGGACTGGGGAGTACGGGCGGTCTTCCTTCCTTTCGAGCGGGGTGGCTTGAGTGCGTGGTCAATAAAGAAAACCTCCCATACTACGGTTACGGTATGGATAGCTAACTTGAGTGACAAAAGACAACCGGAGTCTTTGCTCCCTGGATAAGTCTCATTCGATGTCGCAACCGATGCTTAAAACATCTTCTTCGATCTTCTCAGTCTTCGATCGATCATTCTCTGCTTCATAGAGGAGGGGTTTCCCAGCTAACAAGGAAGCGGGATTTAAAATAGAGGTCAATTCTAAACTGGACCGAGATAGCCTATACACCAATTGACCGACACCATTCCTCAAGAAACGAAGATCGTTGCAAGAAGACCCCCCACCAAGACGTGTAAATGGCATAAATTTGACAGCAGTAGAACGAACCTTGGGCTTGACATGACAGCACCTCGCGGCTCCCTTTCAAGATGAACAATGCGGCTAAGCGTGCATCTGGGGCGGATGTGCCGATGGATGGAGGCGGCTGCATGCTGCATCTAAGAGTTTAGTTCCATGAGACTGAATAACATGGCCTGAAACGAAGTAAACTCACTTTGCTTAACACAGGGCAGCAGAGCAGGACTTCTTTCTCACCCTCACCCGTCATCCAACATGGTTCGCACCAGCGTTATTTGACTCGCTTAGTCCATCGCTGCTTGGCTCTACTTCAACCACTACAACCTGACGGTTCCCTTGCAGCTAAAAGAATGCGATAGAACACCTTTTCTGACATCAGGAGATGAAAGCAGTCAAGCAGGCAACAAAGTCGACTATTCGTCTTCACTTCCTCAAAAGTGCTAAAAAGAGCCCCTGAGTGCAGACCCATCCCCAAGGGACTAAACGCATTCAGTTATCTTTCAAAGAGCTTATTCGAGAACAACCTATTCTAAAAGCAACCTATTTGAATTTGAAAACAGCTTCTTTTAGGGATGACTATTCTGCAGCGGTAATTGCAAACAGAAAGGGAGCACCGCTTACTCAAGCACTAGTACCGTCTAAGCATCCCACAGCTGATGAAAGAGTACCGGCAACTGGTTTACTTTATATTCTAAGATCAGATCCGCTGCTCTTGCAGTAACAGCTTAGGGTGGATTGGTTTGAATAGCCCTATTGACCAGTCAGCATTACCGCAGCTTTTACTCTGTTGCAGGTATGAAGTGAGTTCCATACCATAAAAAATAGTGAAATGGGACCTGGAATACAACCCACCACTGGAACTTGCTTTGCTCTCGCTCTGCTCGTTCCCACCTGTCTTCTTCCCACTATAGTGAAAGATCTTTCACTTCACCATAACAGGAACCTCGCTAACCTTAGAGGCTAGTTACTCAAACCACTGGGGGCCCCTCCTTATTTGAGTTCGCACCTGATAATCGTATCATCAAAAAGACATTGACTGGACTTGAGAGCATTCTCATTGAGTAGGTATGATCGCCAATAACTTTACTTTGATTTCACTCTGACTTGCCCAAATCTATGAATTGCGTCATATAAGATAAGGATCAAGATAGATTACTTTTGTCATATTGATCATCAGTCAAAGGGGCGGGTTAGGTGAGAGTAGGCAACTAGCCCATCCTTGCTAGAACAATTGACTACCAGACTTGTATACGTATACAAGAATAAAAGAGACAGGGGCTCTACCGATGAGAGCTTAGGTGAAGGCTCGAATGGCTTAGTTGTTAGTTGAAAGACTCTGTATGGGATGTTCTTTCTAAAAGCCATAGTCAGGCAGAAGGCAGTGTGCAATCAGCCAGTAGATGACGCCGGAGAGGGATTTGTCAAAGCACGGATAGGAGCTCTACCACGATACTGTCCCAATTCGTTCAGGAGCGAACAACCACTAAATTCCTTGTTAAATGGAGGAGCGGAAGGGGCAAAGTCAACGACTGAGGCCAGAAGGTATGTGAAAGTAGAAGCCAGGGACAGAGAGAGCGGAGGAGAGGACTGATTGAATGAATGTCATTTCACGCTGATAGGAATGGGGTTATCCCCGTATATTCTATTTCTCCTGTCTTATTGATCAATGGTGTGCCATGAGATGCTTCGCCCGGAGGCGCATTCATGGTGAAGATCCCAACATGATCTACTCGGTCAAGTCTGATTAAAGCACTCCAACCAACCCAACAAAAGAAGCAACGGGTACTACTGGAATGAAATCGGCATCTAATTCAATTTCTTAGGTCTGGGTCGGTCGGGATCCAATTCTCTTATAGAAGAAATGGATTGATATGGATTTTTCCCAGCCGCATTGTCATCATCTCACTTCCTCTTCATGACAGAAAAGGAGAAGTTGCTTGACTCAGTGTACGAGGTGAATGAGGGGCTACTTAATGAAAAGAGAAACCCGCCACTAGAGCGGAAGAAGTCTTCTATACTCTATTTGACGATACCAGCAAGTCCGTCTTCTCGGCTGACGTGACTATGAATGGATTGATGATTCATCAACGGGCACAGGCCAATTCAAAGCGGCTTAGAAGCATCAAGGGAAAAACTGGGTGAAAGTATCCCAGGTTAGTGTGCAGATAGAGGACTTCTTTCACAAGGGGGGCGTACCAACCAAGACAAAAAGAATCAGACAAGACGAAGATCGTGAGATGAGCCTCAAGCCCCAAAGGAAGGGCACTCACAAAAGATCTTGCTGCGCGAGAATCAGGTCTGATACAAGCAGTTCCCCGCCTGGGACAATCACTGACGATAGATAGCGAGGGGGGGTACGAGTTCCAACTAGGACGACTGTCATAGGAGCGTCAAGCCACTCAAGTTAGAGGAGCGGTTTTCCACTCTTAACCGTTGCACACGAAAGAGGATCGGAGGCCCCTCAACCTCTTAATCAAGGGGTTTTGAAAGCGCCCCATCTACATCTATGTCAGCAGCATCAACCGGGACTATACCCATTTACTATTCATACTAGGTCAAAGGAAAATCGAAAAGACCAACGACTTGTCTAAAAGAATCAAAGATCCACGAGCTGAGCTTGATCTTACAAACGCAATTTCTTGATTAGTTATTTAGATCAGTCTACCAAAAAGAAAGCGAGTCCTCCGCTCGGTAAAGGAGCATTCAGGCATCGGGGGAAGAGCTCAAAGCCGAGGAGAGCCCTGTGTCCCGCTGATAGAATGGAAAGGGAAGGGCAAGCGGGTAAAGGAGTAGACTAGCCGGCAAAAGGAAAGTCGGAATAAGCGGTTAGGCTTAGAGCTGTTAACGGATATGGAAAACTACCTTACAAAGCTGCTACCTACCTTGGAAAGTAAGCGAAAAGAGCAGGGAGTTCGGCTAAGGGAAGTGGGGAAGGGAATGAGGAAGGATAAGACGGAAGACGAGAAGCCGGCCAAGCAGTTGCTTTAAAAAGGCAAGCTGTAGGAGTAGGCAGTTCATAGAGGTAGTTAAAGACTCCATCTTCTGGTGGTTACTCTTCGGTGAAGTAAGAGGATGCAGGAAAGGAAGAGATAGAGGAAGCGGTTAGGTGGCTAAGAAAGTCATCAGGTAGGTAAGCAAGCCGCCCTGGTGCCAAGCTAAAGACAAGGGTCACATCGATAAGAGAAAAAGCAAAGACGGCTTATGCCGAATATCTTGAACTCAAAGAAAACCAAGCCTAACAACTTTACTTTAATACCAGGAAATCAAAGAAAGATGCGCCAAATCGTTCTCTATCGAATCGTAGTCTAGAGCCAAATGAAACTTGAAACAGAATCGTAGTAAGAGGATGCGCATAGATCAAACAGGATCGGCGAAACTCTCGCTGGCTATGTAGTTTTGGAAATAGCAGGTGATTTGATTCCATTACCAAATAGCATGTTGCCGCATAGAATCAAAATGGAATTTGTATTCGCCCATAATGCAAGATTAGAAGAAACTATACATATTAGGTTAACATATCGGCAAAAATATGATAGTTAGACGTGCATAATATGTGTATTAACGCAAAATAATATACATAAAATAAGATTACTTAATAATAAAGATAATCATATCATTCTATTATAATTAATAAATATTATAATTAATAAAATACTTTGGAAATTTCAATCTCAACTCATCTAAATTACTATAACCACTCCCACAACAATTCACAAAAGAATTCTTCCAAGCCACACATAGAGAGCTGACACAAGAAAGGAACCCATAAAGGTATAAACTAAACGATTCCAACACGAATTTACAGTCAACCAGCAAGAAAAAGGAAGGGTAGGGATTGTACATACGTATGTTATATTCCAAATCTTCACACAATGTTTGAAGCAGTTTCACCACAACAGAGGAAAAGACTTTCTTGACAAATTTTCCCCAAAGATGAGGGTATAAATCAAGCCATGTTGGATTACAGCTGATGGAGAGGGGTCCGATTTTTCTAACTGCAACAGCCGCCAGTTTGTGAAGTCGAGCCATCTCGTCCCCCTGATGGCCCAGGAATTCCACCATATCCAACTTTTATGCCATAAGACTGCAAGCAAAGCAGTTCAAATAATGTGAATTTATCATCCCCCAAATGTTTAGCGATTTCACGCTGCAGCGGATAGTAATATGATCTGATCGCCTTCCAAGCAGAATCAAACAAGATTTGAGTAACTTAGCCAGAGACTAACCTCATTTGACACATCAAACACCCCATCTTGAATCTTCTTGTATATGGTGGCAGCTGTCTTTATAAAAGCCTACGCATAGATGTCTCGCCATTAGACATTTGAACAATTTCAACGAGATGTTAATGCTTCCTAATAAAGAAGAGAAAGAGAATGCTGTTTCTCCACCTCCTCAACGTTCTGAGCTGTTTTAGCAGAAGCCTCCATGAATATGAGACCATGCTCCTTAGCAAATTGCTCCCCCTCTTCGGTGCTAACGGCCCTTCTGTGAGCAAGATCACACTTGTTCCCGATGAGCATAATTGTCATGTTGGCATTTGCATGCTGCCTGGCATCCTCTAACCAGCTCGCCAAATGATTAAAAGTTTCCCGCCTGTAAAGTTGCAACTGACTTAGAAATCCCATACAAACAGACAACATATACAGGAATAACTTCCTTAGGGGGGTTCATAAAGAAACGAGGAAACTCAAACTTCCCGAAGAGGCCTAGTCTATGTTAACATCCAGAGCACTGAAGAGGTATTAACTCTGTATTTTTTTTTTTATATATCTCAAAAGTAACAGCGGCAGCATTGTAGTGTATATCGATTATCAAAGGTTCATATTACCTGGTAATATCATAGACAAGCAAAGCACCAGCAGCTCCTCGGTAATAAGACCTAGTGATCGATCTGAAGGATTCCTGACCAGCCTGTCTTATGTGATGAAGAGACATCAGCAAACAACTTGGGAAAATTTATGATATCATGCCACATATGAAAAATAACAAAGCTAACACGATGCTACACATTCGATTCAGCAATAAACAATGTGCAGTTTTTCATTTTGAGATTGTTGAGTCTTCTAGTGAGAAATAGATGGATTGCAAGTCACCAGATCACGGGTAAACCACGATTAAGTAACTATCCCAACAATTATACACGTATGAAATCTTGTTTTGACCTAAAACGACTCATGTTTGACTTGCAATCTGCAATGGTAAAAGCGGCATTCGATCAACCACAGTAAGCTCTGAGACAGGGTTATATCCAACTGAAGCATGCCATTGAAAACTTTAAGCAATATACTGAACAGAGACTCCCCAATGGTGGTCAACACTACAGGCTCAACAAGAAGTTGAATCCAAGTTCACAATGAATCAAACACCACACATACACACATAGAGCAAGTGAAGAAGAAGAAACGAACCGTGTCCCAAATCTGGAGTTTGATGGGCTTGTTGTCAATAGTGATCATCCTCGCCCCGAACTCGACGCCAATGGTGAGGTCGTGAACCGGCTGGAACCTCTTGTCCGTGAACTGGAGAAGAAGACACGATTTCCCAACTCCTATTATACAGAAGCAAACAAAAAGAAAATTGAATCAATTCAACGCTCAATAAGGGAAAAACCCACATCATGAGTCCACCGCCGAAGCAGAACGAATTGAAAACAAATCGGGAGAAAGAAAAAAAAAGGGAGGCCGTTGGGCTAGTTACCGGTGTCGCCGATGATGATGTACTTGAAGAGATAAGCGTACGACATTTTCTTGAGACTCCGGGATCTCTTCTTCCTCCTCTTGTGAGCTTTACAAAGTTAGTAGAGAAGGCGGGCTTTGGGAAATTGGAGTTGGAGGGAACCAAGCAGAGAGCAGATTTTTCCCGAGAAAATCTACAGAAGCGAGGAGGGGAGGAGAATTTAATGGAGGGGAAGATGACCAGATGCGAGGAAGGAATCGGGAAACTGAAAGGGAACAGCAAAAGGGGAGAAAACGAAGGCAATCAAGCGAAGCAATGGAGAGGAAGCCAGGAAGGAAGGAAGGAAGGAGGAGGCGTGTAGTTTACTAGCGTCTTAGCTGTCAGTCTTTCTCCTTCTTCCGCTGCCGACGTCGAGGCATATCTGGGCCAAAAGCCCAAACAAGAGAGACATCTAAGTAAAGCCCACTTGTTCTTTTTGTTTTTTTGGATGAAGAATAATGCTTTGTATTTCATTAACGTAAGTTTATAAATTATAACAAATTAATTTAAACTCTTCCAACGTTCAAAAGTTCCGGTCCAAAAGTTTTGTTAATAATGAAGATGAAAAGGTTTTCGGAGCTGATGATTATTGTTGGTGCGATGCATGGTATAATTAGTAATGATTAGCCCAAATGAATTTGATATTTCCGAAGTAATAGTTTAGCCCATTCTTTGTTGTTACTATGGGGTCCTGAAGCACAAGGGGATTTTACTCGTTGGTGTCAATTAGGCGGTCTGTGGACTTTTGTTGCTCTCCACGGCGCTTTCGGATTAATAGGGTTTATGTTACGTCAATTTGAGCTTGCTCGCTCTGTGCAATTACGCCCTTATAATGCAATCGCATTCTCCGGCCCAATTGCTGTTTTTGTTTCTGTATTTCTAATTTATCCACTAGGTCAGTCTGGTTGGTTTTTTGTACCCAGTTTTGGATGATCAATTGATCATATAATATGATAGATGGATTTTAATAGGGCTCCATGCATTTTGCATACCGTACTGTTCACATGGCATATGTTTGTTAGGATTTTTTGGCTTGAGTTCAAGTCCGTAAGTCTCATTCCTTAAAGAGAATCTTAAAGCCTTCCTATTGGTTGATAGTGGATTAGGTAGTTAAAGTGGGTTAGTAGTTAATAGGTAGTTAAGAGTAAATGAGGTTATGCAAATATAATTAATATTATTAATTAATGATTCTCTTTCTCTCTCCTCCCATGATTTTCTCCATGACCCTCTCTCTACATTATTATAAAAAATTCAAAATTAATTTTATTTAATATTTAATGAAATCCGAATTTAGTAATTTTCCTTTTTTAAAATGGAAATTTTAAATTTTAAATATATGGCCTCTCTCACATCTTGGCAACTTTCAATTTAGTATCAACATTTTGTAATGACATTATCAATATTTATAATTTGAATCATCATTAGGGCTTTTCGTTGCATGGGTTTAGGATTTTTCGTTTTTAGATATTCGTTTATGTTATTATTAATGTTGTTCGACAGGTTTTTTAATAATGTTACGTGGCATTATTAACTTTTTATGTTTTGTTTTGTTTTGTTTGTAACATTAGCAAAAGTGAAATTGTGTTTTCATTTGTTGGTACTTGAAGTTCATTTACTATTACATCGTATTATCAATTTGGTTCGCAATGATTTATAATCATTTGAAGTGCTATTATCAATATTTTTTGCAAGCACAATACAACAATTAGCAACAATTTATTTCATTGATTTGTATTATTAACATTTTTCCGTGTATGTTTGTAACTTTGTCAAATGTCATTATCAAGAAGCATACTTGTTAGGTATTCGTTTGTTTATGACATTAGCAAAAGTGATTTGTGTTTAAAGATATAACTATGGTTATTAACCTTTCAGGCTAAGTTAGTAACGTAGTTTGTGTCATTATTAATGGGTGTGTATAAGCATTATCAATGTTTGAAAAAATGAGATATTAATAATATCTAGTAAGGTACTTAACAATTAATAGTTGCTATCATTATCAAAGTTTTTGGTTGCATTATCCATTAAACACATGTTAGTTATTAATGTGTTTTAGTGCTATTTGACATTAAACAATTAATTTGAATATTATTAATATTTTTTTATTACAAAATTTATTTCCTTATCAGTGACTTGCTCATTTGTTATTAATGCTTTTTAATATCTTTATTAAAAGCTTGATGTCATTTTATAATGTTGAAGTCGGACATTATTATATTTATGTTTTGTGTTTATTTTCAACGAAATACTTTTCATTATCAATGCTTTATTGTATTGTTATTAAAAGTTTGGTGTTGAGGCGTGAATGTTGGTTTGCTTGAGCTAATATTTTTCTTGACAATGTTTGTTTAACTGAATTTCCTTTTCATTGTAGTGGAGAGAGAGGGTTATGGAGAAGATCAAAGGAGAGAGAGAAAGAGAATCATTAATGAGTTATTTTAATTATATTTTTATAATATCTTATTTATTCAAACTAAATATTAACTACTAACCATCATTAACTACCTAATCTAGTATCAGCCAATAAAAATAGTTTAAGAACCTCCTTAAGCAATGAGGCTTAAGGACTGGATCCAACCCGGGATTTTTTTGGTGTGAATGGAAATGAAAGAGAAATGAGTCAAGAGAAACTCTTGAAATACCCTATTAGTTATATGGGGAAGGGGGTCTTGTATTCGGTCAATTGATTTGATTAAATCTTTTGGTAATTGCTCATATTGGTTTGTATAACCAACCAGACCAAATTTATTTGAATCAAACTGATGTGCCGGCTGGAGTGAACCAAGCGGTCCAACTATCATGGGCCGAACCGATGCAATGGTTTATAATTTTAAAACAAACCAATACGTTTGTTGGGGTGTAACATCCCTTCACACACATCCCTTCATTTTCTATAAATAGCACCAACCCTCTCTGTTTTCATACATGAGTTTTCCTACAAGGTTTTTTTCGGCCGAAAGAAAGAAAATGTGTTTTTTTCTTCTTAGTTTCATTTTTCCTCTCTACAAAAAAATAAAAGAAAATAGAGTCGTGTGACACTCTCGCCGTTCGTTGCGTTCGATGGTTTCTGGGGTTTCAAGTACCGGTAGGGTTGGAAAAATAGACCAGACCGTCAGAAAAACCGTGGTACAAACCGTATCGCACTGTTTGGTCCGGACCGTAGACCGTGAAGTATGGTCTAGTCTGGTCCATGGTCTATATTATTTCATGATTTGATCTCTTGGTCTGGTCTGGTCTAGACCACGGTTTAGCGGACCAAACCGTGGACCCAACTGACTTGTCAATATGTGTTAACAGCCCATTCGACCAGTCTCCAAACTCCCACAACGACACCCAAGTCTCAACCTTAATTTTGTGAATCGCTTCCCTCCTTCATTCACAACCACATTTAACCAGAGAGTAGAGATAATCGTGTCTCCATATGACATTATGTTAATGTTTATGACGTTATGGTGCAAGCTGGGATGCTTTTACTTTGTATCTTTGTTATGCACTAAGATTTAGAGTATCAAAATTATTCATGCATGTTAGGATTAATGTTTTAAGGCAAATAACAATTATTTTTCTTGGTTATTGGTTTAATTTTTTGTGTGGTTGACTAAACAAATTATTCATTTTTCGTTGAGTGTGGTCTATCCGGACTAGACCAGACCGAACCAGACCGCACAGGCGTGGTCTGGACCGGACCGTATAGTCTGTGGTCCGGTCTGTGGTCTATACTTTAGCATCTCGGTCTGGACCATAGACCGTATATATGGTCTGGTCTGGACCAGACTGCACCATTTCCCAGCCCTAAGTACCGGTACGCCAGAAAAGGTACGTCCGTTCTATCCCGGGAGGAATAGTTCCATAACCTTGGGTACCATAGAGGGGGAACTAAATTCCTTAAAGAGAAATAGTGAATTCTATTGGCTCGGACGGTGTTTATGCATGAGTCATGATTTCTTCTGCTTAACCTTTTGTCACTTTGTTTTTTATTTATGTATGTGACTTGTTTTACAAGAAAATATGGTATACTTAAACAATGTCCTCAACAATCTTAAGGAATTTATGTTGGAATTGAATGAAAAATGAATAGCTTTGAAAGCTATAAGTCTCAAAGGAAAAACTACTACATTGCTAGTTTTACTCTTATGATGTGTATAAGAATAGGATCCTCTCTCCTAAGGGCATGCCCCTTGAGGTGACCCACTTTTGTGGGCGAGGGTGGACCTAACGGACCACCACACACACGCGTGTGCGCCGTCCGTCCGAAATTAATTATGACTTGATTATCTTGTATCCTTAACAAATACGAAGACAATCTTTAAAAGGAATATTCGAAGGATAATTATGTTAGGAATTATCTTATAAATTCATTTTAATTAAGGAAGTAATTATCTTTCTTAATTAATCTGACTTATTCCCCAAGTAAGAGGGTATATATTCCTAGGGGTTCGGCTCCTATAAATAGCCGTCTCACCAGCCGCTCTAAACACACAACAACGAGCAGAAACACAATAGAGAGTGTTCAGAGAGCTTCGGTTTTCGCACAAAACGCCGACCATTCGAGGAGCTGTTTTATCTTGGAGACGACTGGATGATAGTCTGCCGTGCGCATCGAGGGCAGTGTCGCGAACGTTTTAAAGAAAGCGACCTAGTCAGCGACTCAGCTCCAGATTCGGTAACCTCGTTCTTGTTGTTGTTCCGTTCCTAACAATTTTAAGACGTTCGACTGCTGCTATGTCGACTGAATAAAACAACATGGTCGAATCTGGTGCTGTCGATATCAAGCCACCCTTCCGCTTCGTGGGAGTCAACTTCCGTCGCTGGAGACAAAAGATGGAGTTCTACCTGACGACCAAGAAGTTGACACACTGCCTCACCAGCATGCCCGTCGAGCTGCCGGAAGAAGCGACCGATGAGGAGAGGGCTGCTTCTGCTAAGGAAAGGGAGCATGACTTCCTGTGCAAGAACTACATCCTCAACGGCTTGGCAGATGATCTCTACCACTACTATGCGGACAACAAGAACATCGCAATGATGGTCTGGGATGCGCTCCAAAAGAAGTACGACACAGATGAGGCTGGAACTAAGAAGTATGCTGTCAGTCGCTACCTACGCTACCAGATGGTGGATGACAAGTCCGTCAAAGTTAAATCCCACGAACTTTAGAAAATAGCTCATGAGATCGTTTCTGAAGGTATGCCTCTGAATGATCAGTTTCAAGTTGCTTGCATTATTGATAAGCTGCCCCCTTCGTGGAAAGATTTTAAGAATATGCTTAGACATAAAACTAAAGAATTTTCACTGGAAAGCTTGATTACTCGCCTAAGGATTGAGGAAGATTCCCACAAGCAGGATATGAAAGAAGAGGTGATGGTCGTCACTGCTAAACGACCCACCCATAGAGCTCTTAAACCTAACCAGAAAGGTTTCAAGAGTAAGAACCAGCAGGTCCGCCCCCACCAAAATGGTGCCTCTCGAGGTAACCAAAGGGTCATGGCCCAAACCTCTAAGAATGACCCACCGTTTATCTGCTATAACTGCGGTAAACCAGGTCATATGGCAAAAAAAATCCGAAACAAGCATAACCCTGCTGCTGCGGCCAGGGTTAACTTGGTAGAAGAGGACTTGGTATCCATGATCACGAATATGATCGCTGAAGTCAACCTCACCGGTGACTCATAAGGATGGTGGCTGGATACAGGTGCATCGAAGCATGTATGCAATAATCGTGCTATGTTTAAAACATACACAGAAGTAGGGCTGGGCATGCGGGCGGATCATCCGCGGATTTGGGCCGACCCACCCGCATTTGACTCGAATTTCGTTAAGTGGGTGGGTGACGGGTTGCGCTGGGAGCCATCCGCCGGGTGGTGGGTGGGTTGTGGGTGAGTGTGCGGATGACCCGCTCAACCCAACATCAAAAAGATCAAAGTCGTTGGCGCTAG